CATAAGAACTACATGATCTTCTCAATAGATGCAGAGAAAGCATTTAACAAAATACAGCAGCATCATCTCTTGATAAAGACCCTCAAGAAAATAGGGATAGAAGGATCATACCTCAAGATCATAAAGACCATATATGAAAGACCCACCATTAATATCCTCCTCAATGGGAAAAAACTGAGAGCTTTCCCTCTAAGGTCAGGAACATGACAAGGATGTCTACTCTTGCCACTGTTATTCAACATAGTATTGGAAGTCCTAGCCTCAGCAATCAGACAACACAAAGGAATAAAAGACATTCAAATCAGCAAGGAGGAAGGCAAACTTTCACTTTTTGCAGATGACATGATACTCTATATGGGAAATCCAAAAGATTCTACTAAAAAACTGCTAGAACTGATCCATGAATTCAGCAAAGTCACAGGATATAAAATCAATGCACAGAAATCAGTTGCATTCCTATATACAAATAATGAAGCAACAGAAGAGATATCAAGGAATAGATCCCACTTATAATTGCACCAAAAACCATAAAATATCTAGGAATAAACCTAACCAAAGAGGTGAAAAATCTATACACTAAAAACTATACAAAACTTATGAAAGAGATTGAAGAAGACACACAAAAATGGAAAAATATATTATGCTCCTAGATAGGAAGAACAAATACTGTTAAAATGTCAATACTACCCAACGCAATCTACATATTCAACACAATACCTATCAAACTAACACCAGCATTCTTCACAGAGCTAGAACAAACAATCCTAAAATTTGTATGGGACCAGAAAAGACCTGGAATAGCCAAAGCAATCCTGAGAAAGAAAACCAAAGCAGTAGGCATCACAATCCCAGACTTCAAGCTGTATTACAAAGTTGTAATCATCAAGACAGTATGGTACTGGCACAAAAACAGACACTCAGATCAGTGGAACAAAATAGAGAACCAGAAATGGACCCACAAACTTATAGCCAGCTAATCTTTGACAAAGCAGGAAAGAATATCTAGTGGAATAAAAACTGTTTCTTCAGCAAATTGTGTTGGGAAGACTGGACAGTGACACACAGAAGAATGAATCCGGACCACTTTCTTACACCATACATAAAAATAAACTCAAAATGGATGAAAGACTTAAACATAAGACAGGAAGCCATCAAAATCCTAGAGGAGAAAGCAGGCAAAAACCTCTTTGACTTGGGCTGCAGCAACTTCTTACTCAACACGTCTCTGGAGGCAAGGGAAACAAAAATGAAAATCAACTATTGGGATCTCATCAAGAAAGAAAGCTTCTGCACAGCGAAGGAAACAATCAGCAAAACTAAAAGCAGGCAACCAATGGAATGGGAGAAGATATTTGCAAATGACATATCAGATAAAGTGTTAGTATCCAAAATCTATAAAGAACTTAGCAAAGTTACCACCCCAAAAAATGAATAATCCAGTGAAGAAATGGGCAAAAGACATGAACAGACATTTCTCCAAAGTAAACATCCAGATGGCTAACAGACACATGAAAAAAATGCTCAACATTACTCATCATCAGGGAAATGCAAATTAAAACCACAATATATAGTGTATGTATATAATGGAATACTACTTGGTGATGAAAAAGAATGAAATCTTGCCATTTGCAGCAACATGGACGGAACTAAAGTGTATTATGCTAAGCAAAATAAGTCAGTCAGGGAAAGACAAATATCATATGACTTCACTCATATGAGGAATTCAAGATAAAAAAACAGATGAACATAAGGGAAAGGAAGCAAAAATAATATAAAAACAGGGAGAGGGACAAAGCAAAAAGACTCTTAAATATAGAGAACAAACAAGGTTGCTGGAAGGGTTGTTAGTGGGGAATGGGCTAAATGGGAAAGGGGCATTAAGGAGGACACTTGTTGGGATGAGCACTGGGTGTTATATAGGGAAACAATAACTGGAATCTACTCCTAAAATTATTATTGTACTATATGCTAACTAACTTGTATGTAAATTTAAAAATTAATAAATCTTAAAAACTGGTGCAGATAACATTTCCCAAGTTAATAGTTTAATAAATATGGAGAACCATGGATGGCATATAACAGCAAAAAGTGTTAAAAGTTTAATGTCCTCTGTACAGGACCTTTCTGTGGATTGCTCTAAAGCCCAAGTCATTTAAACATTGTATTAATGCTCACAGCTAATGTGAGATACATTTAGAATTATAATCTCCTGACTTCCATTCCAGCACTTTTTTCCCAAATATCCCAGTACCTCCCAGTTTGATCTCTGCATGAGTTTAACATCTTTCAAAAGCCACCCTTTGGGTATTATAAATTAATAACTCTGAAACTGAGTGGATAGGCAGTGACTAAGGGAAGCAGTAGAAGAGAGAAGGGGTCTTCAGGTTCATATGGAAGGACATCTGACTGTCTTTTTTGGGCCATCACACATGTGAATTCCTTTCTTTAGAGTATCACTCACCGTACAGTGCAGAGACTGCTTCCCATTATAGAGGTTCAAAATGCCAGGCAGTCACTTTCTAGCCTTCTTTGCCACCAAAGTACTGGTACTCTAACCCACCCTAGATTTTGAATGATGCTAGGGATGTGAGGAGGCCAGGACTAACCCGACTCCTTTCTGCTGAGCGTGGGCAGTATAGCAGCAAATTTAGAGTCTAGCTTGGCAAGGCTGACAGTGTTCACTGTAGGGTCTGGGCCCAGTGCCTGTGGCAGTAGTCTTTAGGCTTTTAGTTCCATGGCATGGATTTGGTTTTTTCAGCCTTCTTGGAAATTTTATGAACGATCCAATATCCTTCAGTAAGTTCATTTCCTTAAATTAGCCAAATTTAATTTCTGTTTCTTATATCGTTAAGAACCCTGATTGGTGAGAACACTGACACCCTGAAGTAGTTGTCACCAAGAGACCCTTGGGGAAGTGATGGAAAAAAATGAAGGAAGAGAAGGAAATCTAGATTTCATTACAGAGTCTGGAGAGCTGTCCAAGCAGCACATGTCCTGGTAATGCTGAGATAAGACACTGGCAGTCCATTGCAAATGGTGATTGATCTTGTGAAAGAATTAAAAAAAAATTCTTAGGGCAAGAAGGATGTATGTTGATTTAGGGATAACACAAAGGGTACACTGCAGTGAACATTTTCTTTTCATCTACTTTTCCTGTATTTGTGAATACAGCAGAGAGCCTGATGCAGGGCTTGAACTCATGAACTGTAAGATCATGACCTGAGCTGAAGTCCGACACTTAACCAACTGAGCCACTCAAGTGCCCCAAACTTTGGTTGATTCTAACTTCAGTGTGATATCTGCCACTCATATTATTCTCTAGAATAGCTTCACAGACTTATGCATAAGGAATAGATGCCTACAGTAAAAGAGGAATAACTTAAAAGAGCCCTTCCACTAACCCCCCCAGGGAAACTTCCTTGGATTCTCTCTCTGCTTCTCTGGTACTGTAAGTGGAGCTAATTCACACTGTAGAAAGAACAGAAAAGTGAAGGTTTGGGCAACATTTTCATAACTGAGTGCCCTCAAACCTGTCTACCCACACCTTTTCATTCCCTGGGTTCATCATGGGAATGGTTCACAGAAACCATGTCTCTCACTGTAACAGAGGGCAGATTTATTTACTCTGCCGTATAATAAAGGTTGGGTTTCTTAAGCTCAGGGGTCTTTGGTATGAGGCAAAACCTCTTTGTGTGGCATTATCTGAACAGTTAACCATCACCATGGAGGGCGGGGGTGGGGGGGCAAGGGGGACCCAACCTAAACATGCTACTTGCTGTGCTCTGAGTAATAGAGTCCTTTGCCATCAACGCTTGAAAGGCTGTAGTAGGCTAATCCTTCATACTTCTTGACACTAGGCGTTTGCCTTTTTGTGAAGCAAAAAATTAGTTTTGAGTCTGGCTTTTTACTGCATACTCTCAAAGTTAATGGATCTTATCCACTGTGCCCTCACATGGCCTTAGCTGAGGTAGGATTTGGGCAAATAGGATCCACATGCCTTCCAATATTAAAATGTTTTGGCTTATGAATCTGAGCTTTCTGTGGAGGCAAAGGGCCACCAAATGCAAGGTGAATATTTAACTGATGTAGAGACAAATGCCAAGAAGCCAGGCAGTGCTTGGCTTACCAAACAGAATAGGCTGTTTCCTCAAACTACAACAAGGAACACAAGCCAGGTTAAAATTTGGAAATTAGTCTGCTCTCCAGGAAATAATGATACAGAGGTGATAGCAGCCAAATAGGATTTGGCCATGAGTTGAGTCTAGCAATGCCCGCTTTGGTGATGGGCAATGAAATAGAACAAACGTCTGTATAGGTACCTAATATTACCTTCTCAAGTAGGTACTTATTCAAATTATCAAAATTGTTGCTTTAACAGAATAAGTTAATATAATTAAGCAATAGAAGGAAGTGTTAACTTTAGCCTTCAACTTGAGTAGGAGGATCGGTCAATATATTCTACTAATTTCAGAAATAAACTATTTAAACATTTTAGTTCAGGGGCGCCTGGCTGGCTCAGTTGGAAGAGCATGAAACCCTTGATCTTGGGGTCATGGGTTTGAGCCCCACGTTGGGTGTAGAGATTACTTAGATATTAAATAAACTTAAAAAAATATTTTTAAACATGTTAGATTACAAAAGAGAAGATCACTATAAAGTGAACTTTTATGTCATTCATCTTTGAAACTATCTTTAATCACTTAAAACCTCTACAAAACATCTAAGTCTAAATAATGGGATGGAATGAATATAAATATGTTTTATGTGGGTTGCCAGGTGGCTCAGTGGGTTGGGCGTCCAATTTCGCTCAGCTCACAGATTGTGAGTTTGAGCCCTGCATCAGGTTCTATACTAACAGCTCAGAGCCTGGAGCCTGCTTCAGATTCTGTGTCTCCCTCTCTCTCTGCCCCTCCTCCACTCATGCTTCGAAAATAAATAAACATTAAAAAATATTAAATATGTATATGTTTTATGTGACAATAAACTGTTTTCTTGGTGATCTAGTGAATAATTTTTTCTTTTATAATTAATATTTGTAAATATGACAGACATTGAAGAAGAATCAAAGAGGTTGTACTTCTGTGTGTCTCTGGAGATGCACTTTATCCAAATATGGCATTATCTGAAAAAATAAGAAGTATTTGTTATACGATGAATAATACATTTCATAGTTCCAAAATAACACTGAGGGCAGAGAGGATGAGTACTGCTTCACAGATATAGAAAGTAAGTCTTGGAAACACTGACTAAAAGCGTGAGACTAGTCAATGGCAGAAGCAGAACTTGAACTCAAATGCAATGTACTGTGTCCCCCTGCCCAAATTCCTATGTCGAAGCCTTAATTACAATGTGATCAAGACATGGGGGCTTTGGAAGCTAATTAAGACATGGGAGTGGAGTCCTCATAAATGGGATTAGTGCTCTTAGAAGAAGAGGTCAAAGAGCCAGCTAGCTCCTTCGGTCATGTGACAGCAAGAAAGCAGCACCCTGTAAGACAGGAAGAGGGCATTCTTCAAGAATCCCACTGGGCTGGCACCCCGTAATTAGGCTGCCAGCATCTAGAACTGTGAGAAATGAATGTTTGCTGTTTAAGCCACCTTGTCTGTTGTAACTGTTTATAACAGCCTGAACCAAAACACCTGCATCTTGTTTGAAGGCTAGTATGTTTAGATAAGATCACCTCTCTTTAGGTCTCCACATATCCAATTGGAAGACTGAAAAGAGAGTTCAGAGATCTCTGGCTAAGAAAACTCACTCCCTGGTCTATTATTCTCTATTGATAGAAGCAAAGAGTCCCCAGAACTGCCAAGTGCTCTTAGCAAAATCCCAATGCTTCTCATCCTTAACACTCATGGCCTCACCACTGCTAGAGAACATTAAGACCAATCTCATTCTGCTCCTTTTCCCTGTTTACTTTGGCTACCTCAAGAAGCCAGGAGTTCTGAGAGAAAGAGAGAAGCCAAGAAACAGACTCCTCACTACAGAGAACAAACTGATGGTTATTACCAGACAGGAGGTGGGTGGAGGGATGGGTCAAATAGATGATGGGGATTAAAGAGCACACTTATCACCATGAAAATAGTAAGAATAAGAACAACAAAAAAATAATGGGGAAACAAAGAAGCCAGGGATTCTGGGTTGTCCCACATGTCCTGGACACTAACCACATGCTCTATGAGCAGCCTCATCCCCTCCCCAGCACTTTCCATCCTCCACTTACCCACTTATAACTCCCTGCCTCGATCTACTCAAATACCCACTGAAATCTAAGTTTTATGTATCACTGTACTGCCAAGCACAGAGTAGTGCCTGACAGAAAGTAGATACTCCTAAAAATTTGCTTAATGAATGTGTTTCTTCCTCTACCATAGGTATGTATAAAGTAAAAGTGTAAAGTGCTTTCTAATTCTTACTGTATAGGTCCTGGGGCACCTGGGTGACTCAGTCAGTTAAGCATCCGACTTTGGCTCAGGCGTGATATCACGGTTCCTGGGTTTGAGCCCCATGTCAGGCTCTGTGCTGCCAGCTCAGAGCCTGAGGCCTGCTTTGGATTCTGGGTCTCCCTCTCTCTCTGTCCCTCTCCCACTTGTATTCTGTCTCTGTGTCTCTCAAAAATAAAATAAAACATTTAAAAAATTTAATTATTGTATAGGTCCAGCAAAATGTACCTTCTTATTATCTTCTTCCATTTCTAAAGATTATTCTACAGCAACAAATGTGCCATGGGAAACTCTAAGCTTATGAGCCATCACCCAAGGGCACGACTACTGGTCTCAAGAGGAATGAGGTAAGATTTACCATTACTTCTGGAAAAATACATTCTACGTACTAATATTTATTCAGTCATCAAACGAATATTTTCTGTATGCCTTATTTATGCCAGACACCATTCTTGAAACAGAATGGACAAAGCAATGAAAAAAACAGACAACATCTCTGCTTAACCTTATGGAGGAAAAGAAAGCCAGGTATGGTGGTGCAGGATACTGGAGAGTTCTTTTAAAGTTTTATTTATTTTTTTTAATGAGAGAGAGAGAGAGAGAACAAGCTGGGGAGGGACAGAGAGAGAGGAGGACAGAGGACTCCAAGTCGGCGCTGTGCTGACAGCAGAGAGCCCAATGTGGGTCTTGAATTCATGAACCGGAAGATCATGACCTGAGCCACAGTTGGATGCTTAACTGACTGAGCCACCCTGGCACCCCAGGATATTGGAGAGTTCTATTTATACAGGACAGTTTCTGATTAATTGGCTTTTGAACGAAGATCTGAATAAAGTGAGGGAAAGAGAGAGAACTCCAGGCAGAGGGAACAGCATGTGCCAAGTCCCTGAACCAGAATCCTATGTCCCAGGAACAGGAAGAAAGCCATGGTAGTTAAGTGAAATGAGGCCAGGGACAGTGGAGAGATAAGTCTGAAAAGATAATTAGGGACTTGTTCATCAAGAGCCTATAAGCACAGGAGAAGGTGTGTGGATTTCACCTAAGTATGCTATGAGACCATAGGCCAGTTTTGAGCAATGAATGATGGATGTAATATATGTTTTAAAAAGATCACTCAGGCTGTTGTGTAAAGAAGTAAATGTGGGAGGCAGCAAGCGTGGAGGCTGGAGGATGGCTGACAAGCTGTACTTTGGGAGAGAGATGACTATGGATTGAATCAGGGTAACAGTGGTCAGATTCAGGACTTATTGTGAAGGAGCAGTTGACAGGACTTCCAGACAGATTGGATGTGGAACATGGGACAAAGAAGAGTATCAGATGTACTCCTAGACTTTTGATCATTTTCTGAAATGAAGAGGGGGCAGGGGTGAGTATGCATGTTTGGGAGTGGAGGATGGGAATTCTTTTTGGTAAACTTTGGTGAATTTTGGTAAATTCAATGGTAAATTTGAGATATCAGGTAGAGGTGGAAGTCCTCACGGATGTGCTTCAAACTCAGGAGAAAGGTCAAGGACAGAAATAGAAATGTGGGACTCATCAGAATTAGAGAGTATATTTTTAAGTCCTGTAACAGGTTGAAGACCAGCAATCTGTCTTGTTGAGATCACCTAAAAACTAAGTGTAAATGATCAGAAGTGGGCCATCTTATCTAAAAAGGATGTTATTTTACAGTTAATGGTGTTTATCATTTAATTCAGTACACATTTGTGGATGGTTTGCTGGAGTAAAATGTTCATCACATTTTATAAGGAATGTCCCATCTCCTTATTTTACAAATGAGGATTTTCTCTTTCCATCTGTTGGTGTCCTGGGGGAGGGGGTACTCTCTCATATCTATGTTCTCAGTTTAGTGTGGCAGGGACAAACTTTTGGTTTGGAATGGGGCCAGTTCTCTTTTGGGGAGAGTTCGCCTTTCACTGCTTTTAAGCCAGTTTCTCCAATATGGATAGTTTTCCAGTAACAAAGCCAACATTTTTACCTCCATCTATCTGTCAGGTGATATAAACTCAGAAACAGAAGGGTATTATTGTTGACCTTTTCAAACCTTAACAGTATTCAGGATAAAGTATACATTCAAAAAAATGTTAGCATCCTTCTCTATACCTACACACTTTCTACTAGTGGAAATAAAAAAATAAATAAGCCCCGCATATCTCTTATTTATCCTTGATGAAAATTAAAGTTGAAACCAAAGACCTTGAGTTTTAAGTAGAGATTAATGAGAAAACCATGGGAAACAAATTCTAATAAGGCTTTTGAGAATAAACAGCACAGGGTCAGTAATTACCTACCATTTGTTCAAAGAAGTGTTTCTCAACCTTTTTGGTCTCAAGATCCATTATATTCCTAAAAATTACTGAAGACTTTATCAAGGTTTTGTTCATGGATGTTGTACCTCTCAATATTTACCAGATTAGAAATTTAAACTGGGAAAAAAATTAAAACTCAAGAATAAAAGTCCACATTCCATTTGATGGTCAGAAGAATGATGTGATTGCATATATATTGCTTCTGGAAAACTCCACTGTACTCCCATGAGAGTTAAAAAAAAAAAAAAAAGGCAAATATCTCAGCATCCTCATGAAGACTTTGACCTTGTGGGTTCCTGAAAAAGACCTGAATACTCAAGGGGTCCCCACACCATCATTTAAGAATGAATAGTTTAGACTAAAAAAGAAAAAGCATGTATTTACCTGTTAATTACCATAACATTTCAATTAAGTCTATGCTCATTCTGTATGTTGTCATCATAAAGTTGAATTTCTATTTAAGTGTGTTTACTTAAAAGAACAAAGAGCTTTTTCTGAGAGACTTAAAGGTTTGTTTTAACATTCCAGAATTGTTGGCTTATAACTTTGATATCTTTAACATTGGTTATAGAAATTATATTTGTTAGACTCTGTTTTGCAAAAAACCATGTGTATTTCTGTAAAATGGTAAACTGTGTTGTTATAGAAAGTGGATATTACATTCCACTATTAAACTTGTGAGCCTAACCAATTCTGTCGTTTAACTTACCTAATACTGAGTAATTCAAGCAGAATAAAAGACTACACAGATCCACTTAGAATTAGGAACACTAAAGGCACTTCTCCCTTGTAAAGAGCTATTTTTTGAGTAAAATAAACACATGGCTGTTACTTTAAAGCACAACAGAGAATCTCAGTTTTCAATGCCACACTATATCACCCTCTCTACAGCACTTACCAAGAGCATGAGGGCAAATATAAAGTCACAACCCCTCAAGAAAGAAGTTAAATCTCCAAAATACTTATTATTCTTGTTTCAAATCTAACTTAATCATGTGTTGTTTGTATTTAATACAATTATACTCTCCTGAGTTTTTTTCAAATAAATGAAAAAAAAATGCCATCAGTTGTTTGTCTTGCCTTGGAAACAAGTATTCACAATCAAAAGTGGTTACTCTTTCTCTTCCTCCTCCTGCAAAATAATATTACCACCACTATAAACCCCCACACCAACCTCCCTATACATTGTACTATTGTTACTCAGGGCTTTTTGTTTGATATTTGTCATCAAAATCATTTCCATTGTATCTCAATTTTGTACGTGAAATTTTTGCAGAGGCAACAAATTGGTGAGATAGTCTCTGAAGCTTCTGTGGGTCATTATAATTATTTATAACAACTTCTCTCAAAATACTGTTCTCGGGCCTTCAGCATCAGAATCCCCTTAGCTTACTGAAAATGCAGATCTAGGACCAAAGGAGGGCCTATGGAATGAGTCAGCCTAGAGGTGGAGCTTGTGATTCTGGAAGCACAAGAAAATGAGAATCTCTGGTCTATAGCAGATCTTACAACAACTAACCTAGTTTACTGATGCTTTTTACTTCAGACAGACCTCTTTAAAACTATCCTAGAGCAATACTTACTGAACGTCTCCCAACCCCAGAAATTGTCCCCAAGTTTCCTTATAAATTCCTCCTTTCAGTTGCGGTGGGGGAGGGGGAGGGCAGAATTCTACCATAACAACTTACTTTTTGCAGGAAAGTGCTTTTTCTCGGTGTGAACTAGGAGACTCAGCTTGACCCAGGAGTTCCTGCCACTGTCAGGAACAGGTTCTTTGATTTGGGTGTGAGTAAAGGACTGGTAGGCACAGCTAAAATGCCTCTTTTGAACTCTCAGTAAACTGACTTGATTGCTTCTTTCCACAAAGCAGTTGGATTCGCGCTTTTTGTTTATCTTCTCCAGGAGACGTTGTTTGTTTGCTTTAAGTTTTTTAATTATTTCATTGGTTCTGTTTATAGAAGTCATTATGCTGACTTCTTGTGTCAGTCACTTGACGTCAAGTGATTCTTAGTATCCTGAAACAAATGAAAACATACGGTCATTGCTGCTTGACCTGGTGGCCAGTATTCATAATCAGGTTTTTACCAGTTCTTTCGTGTCCTCCTGTAAAATGCCACCACCACTGTGCCACTGACCCCACATCTCACTCCATTTCATTATTATTTCCTAAGGTCTTTTTGTTTTTTGGTATTTCTTTAGGAAAAAATCATAAATAGAGGATTTTAGTGAGAAAATATATTTTGTTTTTGAAACTAATACTATGTATTGATTCTTGCTTTTAGGAACTCTCACTGTTTCTTTTGATTATAAAACTAATACATAGTCATTGTAGACAATTAAGAAAATACAGAAAAGCATAAAGTAGACAAGGTAAAATCACTCTTTATCTAGAGACAATGAAATTAACATTTTGGATGTTTCTTTCCCAAAACATATCCAAAGGATTTTATTATAAAAAGTACAAGGGTGGGGCCCTGGGTGGCTCAGTTGGTTAAGTGTCCAACTTTGGCTCAGGTCATGATCTCATGGTTTGTGAGTTTGAGCCCTGCATTGGGCTCTGCACTGACAGCTCAGAGCCTTGAGCCTGATTCTGTGTCTCCATCTCTCTGCCCCTTCCCCGCTTGTTCTGTCTCTCTTTCTCCCTCCCCCCTCCTCAAAAATAAATAAAACATATTTTTAAATTAAAAAAACACATGGCTTTTTAAAGAGTTTTGAGTGGCACCTAGCTGGCTCCGGTGATAGAGCATGTGACTCTTGGTCTCATGGTTGGAAGTTTGAGGCCCACGTTGGGTGTAGAGATTAGTTTTTAAAAAAATCTTAAAAAAAATTCCAAAAAAATCAGATTCAAAGGAGCATGTGTACCTCAATAGTTACAGCATTATTACAAATAGCCAAACTATGGAAACAACCCAAATGTCCATCAACTGATGAATGGATAAGAAGGTGTGGTATATATATTTTATAATGAAATATTACTCAGCCATCAAAAAGAATGGATTTTTGCCATTTGCAATGATGTGGCTGGAGCTAGAGTGTACATGCTCACCGAACAAGTCAGGCAGAGAAAGAAAAATACCATATGGTTTCACTCATATGTGGAATTTAAGAAACAAAATAGATTAACATATGGGAAGAGGAAAAAAAGGAGAAAGAGAGAGAGAGAGAGAGAACAAACCATAAAAGACTCTTAAGGTTGGAGAAAAAACTGAGGGATGATGGAGGGAGTTGAGTGGGGGATGGACTAGATGGGTGATGGACACTAAGGACAGCACTTGTTATGGAGTACTGGGTGTTATATGTGATGAATGACTAAATTCTACTCCTGAAACCAATATTACACTGTATGTTAACTAACTAGAATTTAAACAAAATTTTGAAATAAATAAATAAACATGAATATTAAAAAAACCCACAAAAATAAAAAAATAAAGGACTCTGAAAATATTAAGCATGTATTTACAGTACATTCTCATTATTAATGAATTCCATCTTTGCAAATTTGCCTACTCATAAAAATTTGTTACCTCAAAATCAGTACTTGTGGCATTTTAGCTGTCATTCCTAGAATGCACAGAGCAGCAAAAATTTGAGTCTCTTTGATGTGCATATTCCCAGCTAAGGTCAAACAAGGAGACACTCTGCCTTCTTGATTCAGCTCTCATACTATAAACAAGTGTCCTTTTCCTAATCTATTTAGTGTTACTTTTCTTTTTTTTAGAATGCTCCCCAAATATAGTGATAAACTGCTGTCTAAGGCTCCTGTAGCAAGAAGGCTGTAATGTGCCTTATTTGTGGTTAGATAAGCTTTGTTCAGGCATATATAGTGCTGTTGGTTATGAGTTCAATGTTAATGAATCAACAGTTTGCATTAAATAATGATACATACAGATACATACATAAAATAAGGTTATATATTGATTGGTTGATAAAAATCTTATGACCAGAGGCTCACAAGAACCTCTCGTATTTTCCCTAAGAGCAACTGGCTAAGTATTTGCTAACTTAATGCTTGGGGCCACTTTATAGAACATAACTACTACAATAACAAGAATCAACTGCATATATATAGCAAATATACTACTATTTCTACAGCTATGTTATTATAAATTACCTTTAATGTACAGTAACCCAAAGCCTATTTGAAGTCCCCTGAATTGAATCAGCCCACTGAGATATTACCTTGGTGATGGAATATTATGAGCTAAGCCATTCCAACTTTGTTCTATTCATAGAACCCTAATTAAGAGAAGTTTTGGAGTTAGACCGTTTACTTATCAGCTATGTGTCCTCTAATAAATTACTCAATCTCTCAAGATCAATTTCCTCATCTGGAATAAAGATCTCTATTTCATTAAGTTGTAGGTTTGTGTGTATATGGTAGGAGGTAGGGAGGAATTTGGAATTAAATGAGATGTGCATGTAAAGCTCTTTACATTGTGTCAGGCATCAATTTATTACATGTACTGATATTTGTTGAACACCTACTCTGTGCCTGGTGTTCTGGGTACTGGGGACAAATGGGTACCTACTCCAATGGAGCTTATAGTCTAAAGGTTAAGATAGGTACTTAGTAAACCACAGCGATTTTTACTAGTTTTTTTTTTTAATGTTTTTATTTATTTCTAGGAGAGAGAGAGAGACAGCGTGAGCAGGGGAGGGTCAGAGAGAGAGGGAGTCACAGACTGAAACAGGCTCCAGGCTCCGAGCTGGCAGTCAGCACAGAGCCCGACGCGGGGCTCGAACCTACAAACGGCGAGATCATGACCTAAGCGAAAGTCGGACGCTCGGACGCTTAACCGACTAAGCCACCCAGGCGCCCCGATTTTTACTAGTTTTATTAAAACTTCATCTTTTACTTGGGGAATTATTTTATTCATATTTTGTTCTCAGAAGAAGAAGCCTCCCAGTTAAAAAAAAAAAAAAATCTTCAGAAATACATTTCAGAAATACAAAAGTCATAATTTCTTTCTTTTTATAGGAATTTATGATAGAAAAACTAAGATTGGTATTGAAGAAAGCCGTTCACAATGTCAGAGAAATGAATTCTCTAAAGAACTATATGAAGGCTTAGCAAAAGGAGACCACCTAACTCTGATAAGACTGGAGTCTCTGATGAGACCAATGCAGGGCAACTGCTGAAGATAAGATATTTTGCCATTGTTGCTTTTTTGTTTTTTAGCAAAGACTTATCAAGAGACCTAATTAGTTGGGCATAACACTGGCACCTGCAGGCCAGGGGCTAAATCCTCCCTTGTTAGAGTGCAACCTGGAGGAATATTTCTGCATCTGTAAGCTTCAGCATCTTTAGCTGTGAAATGTGCTGATATCAATACCAAGGTATTGGGAGGATTAAAAGAGATAACAGATGAAGAGACGTGTAAACTATAAAGTGTATAAAGTGGGGCAACTGGGTGACTCAGTCGGTTAAGTGTCCAACTTTGGCTCAGGTCATGATCTCACAGTCCATGGGTTCTAGCCCTGTGTCAGGCTCTGTGCTGACAGTTCAGAGCCTGGAGCTTCCTTCAGATTCTGTGTCTCCCTCTCTCTCTCTGTGCCCCCCCCCCAACTCGTGCTCTGTCTCTGTCTCTCTCAAAATTAAATAAACATTAAAAAAATTAAAAAATAATAAAGTATATAAAGCAAGTGTTGGGGAGGGAAATTTTTCCTCTAACCTCAAGATTCTTCTGGCTGGTCTAAGAGTTAAACTGATATAAGACAGATTATAGGAAAGAATCAAAGCTAATTTGTATGTACAGAGGTCCCACAGATATGACTAAGGCTGGCAGCTTGTTTTATACAAAGAAACAATAAATTAGTGAGGAGCTGACAGGATAAAGAAAACTTATGTTTGGGAACTTTAATTAGTAAGGAGTTCTAAACAGAATTTGGACTGGGGTAGTAAGTTAGTAAAAGTAACAAGGTTTGTTTATATAGGCTTCTTCACTCTGAATTCTCTGTCTTTGATGATAAAGATGTCTCTCTACCTCCTGGTACAAGAAGGGTACCTTTCACATGGGAGATTAATTTCTTGCTTTCTGGAGACAAAGGAGTGTCAGTGTGTTCTTTTTGCACTGGCTGTTTCTTAAGTAACTTTAATTCAAAATAATCAGGATGCCAAAGTGGCATATTTTAGGATAGCCTGCCTTGAGCCCCAAGACAAGCATTATAAATTTTTTCTAAAATGTACATTGGTTAGATTAGTTTGTTAATTCAGAAAGTTATGTGTGTTGTATCTAAGAGTGATTCTCTATCATTCTTTTACAAGGCAATTATTTGTCACATAAGAGAGCCAATTTGAGTAGTTCCTAAGCCAACACTTTTTTCTCGCTCAAAGGTTATTCTCCCAGTGAAAATTTCAGGCTACATTCTAAGATGTCCTATCCCCATTGTCCTGGATTTACTCTGACTTGCTGTGATGGGTAGGCCACTACAGGATGTGATGCTTAAGCATAAGCATTATTTTGAGCCAAAAACAATCAAGGCCCAAATGGTTCCAGAAGAAACTAACTTTCCCCCTGGCTGCCTAAAAGAATTCAAATAGAGGACCTGGTCCAGGAAGGGAGAAATCACCACAGATGTCTACAGTATAATATGAACTACATGTGGTGGACAGGCAGGAACCTAGCCAAGTTTGTTAAAATTTCTCTGTATCCCATTGTTTCTATATGGCCCAGCAAACATTTATTTACTGAAAATTTACCTTTTTTGTCTTCCTGTGAATTGCTTTCCTTCCCTTCGAAGTCTCAGACTCTTACCCTCATCTCCTTTGTTCAGGATGACATATATACCCAATTTTGCCTGTCTCTGGAATCTCTCATGTTTATGTGGATTTCCTGTACATTCATAATTAAATTGGATTCTGTCCTGTTAATCTATCTCATAGCAATTTAATTTTTAGACCAGTTAGAGGAATCTTGAATGGGAGAGGAAAATTTTTTCCCCCCCAACAACTGTTTTCAGCTTGAAATAATCTGCATGTCAAATGGTACATCTTGGGGCCACTGTTCTGAACCCCTACAGTTCCCTCCTCTGAAACTTCCCTGGAATTTTCACATATTAAAAGCTAAGTTGGTGACTGTGGAAAGAGAAAATGGGTTATTAGCCAAGGAATCTGCAAAAGGAGAGGAAAAACAGAGAGTAGAATGAAGAACAAACAGAAAAGAACAAATAAAACCACATGTCCCATATCTCATTAAACCAGTTCCCCAATCCTAGATATAGGTCAGTGCAACAAAATATCTGAACTTCATTTATCTGATGAAAAATATTAATCCTTTCTTTTAACAGATATAAGCTAGATACTATTTGTCCTGTTTTATTTACATGGAAGTAACCTTTTCCACTGATGATTGCACAAACTCCTCCTTGCTGGGCAGTGTATCGAGGGCACATTGATTTTGGAGTGTCACGTAGGCTAAGCTGTTAATTTCTGACTCCAGTGTTTTTAAAGTTTTCATAGTGACATCAAACTCTTGTTCCATTACCACAGAGAGATTTAGGATTGCTTTTTCCAATTCATAATCTCCAAAGTTTGGAAATAAGATCCTCAATGCTAAAAAAAACCTTGGAGTTGTGATGTACAAGCAGATTTTTTATGACTTCTCAACTGGTACATTTACATAGCACAAGTTTATGAACAAAGGAGCCCACAATTGTAATTTGCCTGGCATTTAGGGTGGAGTATTCAGTGACAGAAGAGGCCAAGTATCCAAGTTCATATCATTCTGACCATTTAGGTGGGAACACTTTACATACTTTGTTGCTACATAAAATAAAAAGACCAATTGTAGTATACAGACAAGGTTAGATTTGAACCTATAATTCCCAGGATCTGGAGTATTTCATGACCTTTGCCGTTGGTTAAGTGAACTTTCATACACTGCCATGCTCCATGAGCTCCTGTCAATCTGTAAGATTGCAGAATACTATAGTTGTTCTAGGAAGCCTATAATCTGGCTTTGGCAGCTGTAAAACTTGGTTCTGTCAGTCAGGAACAAAGGCAGTTTTAAAATTGGGTGGGGAGAGGAAAAAGGGGTCTGTTTTGGGACTGCATATTTAGTAGCTCTGTCAGCCCTATTATTTCCGAAAGATCAGTTTTCTTAGTACAGGCTGAACAGTGAACAATGAGAGTTCTAAAAGGGAGGGGAATAGCTTGTGGTAGGCAGCAATTATACGTCCATTAGCAATGGAAGTACCTGCAGAATTGAAGAATCCATAGGATTTCCAAATTGTGCCAACAGCATATTTGGACTCTGTGTTAGTAGTAGCAGTTTTCCCCTCCGTCGAAGTGTAAGCTCTAGTGGGAGCTGTGAGTTCAGCTGCTTGGGCTGATTTTACATTGCTTCTTGTGGGGAAACTGTGGCATAACTAGTTATGTTTCCCCATAAATGTCATTAACAGGAGCCATCAAAAAATAGAAGTTAAGTCTGGGTTGTCTAAAGGGGTGTCTGAGAGATCCTCTCATGGCTTTGAGACCATTTCTGTAGTTGTAAGGCAATCACGGGGCTCTCCGTCATCAGGGAGGGGTAGCAAGGTAGCTGGATTTAAAGTGTTACAATGATGGAAGATGACTGGAAGGGTTAGTCAAAAGAGCTTGTTTGTAAATGGTCTGTTACTGTGTAGAGAGGTGCTGTGTCTTAGGAACTTGTAAGTGAGCGGACACAGCATAAGGAACACATAGGTGAATGGGGGAGCCTAATGTAAGAGTACTGGCTTTATCAATCAAGGTGACAGCTGTGGCCACTGCAAATAAACATGGGGGCAGAGCCAATGCCACAGGGTTTAACTGGCATGAGAAATATGCTATTGGTTGTATCTGAGAGGCAAAAGATTGTCTTAGAATGCTTGCAGCCATGCCATTGTTTTCATGGCAGTATAGATGAAAAGGTTTGTTAAAATTAGGTAAGCCAAGAGCTGGGGGTGTTGACAATGTTACTTTCCAGGGTTGAAAGGAGGTTAGTGTCTCTGAAAGCCAGGAAATGGGCTCTGGGGTGGAGTCTGGGAGAAGGGCATACAGAGGTTTAACAAGGTCTACAAAATTAGGAATCCATTGGCTGCAATAGTCAGATGGCCCCCCAAACTTACATAACCATTTATTTGCTTTAGGGAGATAGATGGGCAAAATTGATGGATGGTGTTTTGGAGTAAGCTTCTGATGCCCTGAGATATCTC